CAACGAGAAGAATCAAATTAAAAAGATTAGAAAATGATAATATTAATGATTGATTGAGAAAAAGAAACCACAAAACAATAACTATGAATCAATTAATGAATAACAAGATGATTGAGTAAACAGACAATTTACTCTGGTGATTAGTTGATGATGATGATTAAGTTAATCAATATGATGATTAAGTCTTTTAATTGTTAGTTATGTTAATTGTGTGTGTGTGTTTTTTTTTCTCTCACTAATTGTTGATTATTTACCTTAAGATTTTTTAATTGATGGCACAAATGTAAAACTCGGTTGGTTCCAGTGACATTGATTTGAATGGCTCTCCTGTTGATGGAAAGTTAAATTGTGATTAAATAAGCATGAGAAAATCAGTGAATAAAATCAAATTATAAAACATATAATATAATGGAAATCATGATTTAACATTGACGATTCACTGTTAAAAATTGGTTTCAAGGATTCAACAATTTAATAACAATCAAGTTAAAAGGCTAAACATGAGCAATCAAACAAATTAAAGAAAAAAAAATGTCTTGGTCATAATTGAATAAGTGTTTAATTGTTAGGCATTAAGCCAGTTAATTATTAATATTAATAGTTAATTTTCATTGTAATTGTGATTAAAATTATTATGTATTCAACAAATTGTCGACCTGATTAACTTTAGAGACACATTAATATCATTAATAGCCGGATGAACCAAATTTAGAAAGTTAAAAATTGTTTAATTGTGCTTGAGGCAATGAATGATAATTATATCTGGTTTGTAGTGTTTAGTCAAATACATTCAACTAAAAATAATCTGATGTAATTTGTTGATTGTTAAACAATCAATAACTGTAAATATAAGTATAAATATATATAATATAAATTATGAATACTCACTTAATTGGTTCATCAAATCTAATTGTTGCTGCTGAATGTATCACAATGGAAACGTTTTCCTTTAATTCACTTAAATCATTGTAATTAAGACCAAGACCTTCAAAGGTAATATCACCTGAGATTGATTTGACTTTGGTTAAGATTGAAGGATTGACACTACGAATTGAATCAAATATTTGAGATTCAAGTAATTCACGTAAACGGGATTGTGGTAATTGACCACCTCGAGCTCGAAGTAGAACATAAATTGTACCAAGAGTTGGACAATCACGAAGTAACTTTTCAATTAAAACTTTACCCAAAAATCCAGAGGCACCGGTCACTAAGATACACTGATCTCTGTAAAAATCCTTAATTGTCTCAACCATAACTTTAAATTTTTTCACCAAATTAATTGTTGATCATCAAGTGAATTTCAGTGAATGTGTGGGTTAGACTGTTAACTGTTAGAATGGAAATGATAAAAAACAACAACAACAATTTAGAGATTTACAATCAATACCGTAATGGAAAACTGGTTACCTAAACCAGTTTCGGGTTCCACCTCTCACTTGGTACTTGGGTTTACCTTTCGTTGTCTAAAATTATGAGATGATGGAGATGAGGGAGAAATCAACAATTCTATCGAATTATAATTGAACAGTTGACCTGATTTCTGATGAATACAATCCTAATGGTTTCACTCTCTCTCTCTCTCTCTCAGTTTAATTGTCACTTTTTTTAGACTTTCGTAAGTTTCAGCCGAGAGGGAGTTGGAAAAGTTTCGGCTCAATCAATTCAGCTGATTGGCTAGTTTCCTCTCTTTGTTTGCTTTTTTTAGACAAATTAAATTGTAATTTCAAGTTGATAGTTTACCTTTCAATGTTGTTTATTGTCAATTAAAACAGTTGTTAACGGAAATAGGTTTACAATGGACAATTTTCATTTGTAAAGAAACAAATAATGTCAAATTAATTGTCATTTTTGGGCTTTTCATTTGTTTCTTCTTCAAGTTTTACTCTTTCTTGTTTTCTTTTTCAATCATCAAGGTAATAGTAATGTGGGTGGATTGTTTTTGTTTTCATGTTAATTTCTTTTAGAGGTACTAATGTAGAAAACATTATTACCCCTGATAAAAGCATCTCCATACTTGTTCTTTAATTGTCCATTGACATATTCTTCAGTTTGTTCCAAAGCAATGTTCATATAACCATCAAGACTAGCCAATACTCCTCGGTAATCAGCATCACTGTTAAGCTTTACAACAACCGGTCGACCAGTAATTTGCTTGAGAAAATCACTCGGAGTTTGTTTTTTAATCATAATCGAACCTCGGGACTAGTCAACAACCAACCAACACGAAAACTGAATCACTAATTAATGAGAACGAGGAAAAAAGAATATGTAGAAAATCAAATTAATTCGATATAAAACAATTAACACACCAAAACAAAAAGAAAAAATCAAATTCAAATTCAATAAACAGATGAGAATAAATCAAAATAAAAGCCAAATGTTGAAATAGAAAAGAACTTGAAACGCCACCTGGTGGATAGAATTTTTATTCTTCTCTTAATTGTTTCGATTAATTTAATTTTCCACTTGAATTTTATTCTCACAAATGTCAATGTTTATTTAAAAATTATCCAAAAACTATAATAACAACTCAAGTATCTTTTCCAATCAATTGATTGTTAATTAATTTAAAAGAATTGTAAGTTTAATCAATTCAAGTGAAATTCCAAGTGGATGATTGTTTGATTATCGCGCTTCTATTCAGATAAGCGGGAAAATCTTTCAGATGTAATTGTTTACATTTATTGTGTTGGAATTTGCTAATTGTTGCTAATTCAATTTTCTCTTGAGTTTTGTTTAATTTACTCTAATTTAATTTTGTAATTATGTCCACTAGTAAATATCATTATTCTTCCCTTAAATCGATTCTTAATTCTTCTGATAAATATAATCACATTTTTGGTGTAATTCGTAAATATCATGAGCAAGGAGTTTACATCCGAGATGAAACATATGATTCAATTAAAGTTAATTTCTCATCAACTTTTGAGGCCATTTTACCTCATATTAAGCCTGGTAATGTGATACGAATCCATCGTCTAATAAGTTGTGGTGGTACACAGTTTAGATGTATTAAAGTTAGTGATGTCCTTTTGTTTTCTTCATTCAAGGATAAAGATGCTGCTTCTTATAAGGTTCGTTTTGAAGCTAAACAGCCAACAATTGAATTGTCTGATTTTGCTCGAGTTGCCGAATTGGAGAAATGGTTGGCAAATAAACTATTGGAAGTTTCCTTAAGAACAGTTACAATACCCACTTGGTATGATTTGGTTTGTCAAGTTGTTGACATTAAAGATTTGGCTCCTCATCGAGTCATCTTGATTGTTTATGATGCTTTCAATCCTGGTCTTCGGATTAATTGGCTTATACCAAGTGAACAATGGGAAGGTTTTCCTATGGATAAACTGGTCTGTGTTACCGCTTGGGATCGTCATGCTATTAAGGCCAGAAGACTTGAGAAAGGATCACTTATCGCTTTTTTTAACTTACAAGCATCCGAAGCTAAACTACAACCAGGAAATTTTGAGCTACATTTACGAGGTGGAACTCATTATGGTAAAATGATACGAACTGTTCATCCAAACAGTTTTCTTGGTGTTGGTTATAAATCACGGATGGTAAAATTACACCAAGAGATGAATATCAAAACACCAACAGAAAATCAACCCAAACAATCAAATGCTCCCAAAACGATTATTGAAGAAATTGTCGATTCAAACTCTACTCTTAATCCAGCTCATTCAACTCAGCTTTTAAACTCCGATGATGTTGCAGATGTAATTTGTGACATATCGGATATCGGCTCATCCATTTCAGATGAATCACCTAAAAACAAAGAGAGTCCTAAACCAATAATCTCTGTAAAAAAGTCAAAATTATCTTATGATGTTCAATTTCCCGTAATTTTTGACCTAAACGAGCCCGAAAATTTAATAGGAATCAAAGATTATTTAGCTGCAAATACAGATGAACGGTGTTGTATTAAAGCCAGAGTAATGAGCTACAAACCAATATCCCGAAGCATAATTGATTACATTCAATTGGTTTGTCCAAATTGTGATTACAAGGAGTCACCTTCTATCAGCACAATCAATACAATTAAGAAATTATCTGGGCCTAGAACTAAAATCTCATGTCCAGAATGTCAGAAAAAAAGTGAACCTTACCAGTTAAATGCGACACTATGTATCTACCTGTACCTTAGCGATACCGAGAATTATGAAATTCCAGTTACATTAAGTAAACTCGATCTAATTAAATTACTTGGTGTTCGCATGATCCCAGTTATGAATGATATCGAAGAAGCCAACAAAATATTTGATTTCCTTGATTTCATTTGTCCATCAATCAACTTAGAAGGACCGATCTCACCATTTAATTCCGATTCCAGGCCATTTTTGAAGTGGATTATCCAACGACAACCCGGTGGACTAAGGATCAAATGGGAATATCGAGCGTTAACAGTTTTTCCAATTAATTAACAAAGTAACTAATTAACTTTAAGATAAATGAAGACTTAATTAACTGTATATTAAATCTAATCGTCTCTTTTTTTTTCATCCTTTCCTTACATAGATACACTGATCATCCCTAAATTGTTGTTAATGATTCTGACAAAGGAATTACCAAAGAAAAATCTAGTAACCAATTAAGGAATCTCACCTTCATCATCATAATCATCTTCATCTACTAATCAAGTCACCATATTTTGCTAATGATCAATTTTATCAAGTTATCACTATCAAACCCTTATTCACAATTAGTGATTTTATTAATCACCTAAACAAATTGTGATAAAGAAATTTTCTCGTCTTGTTTGTTTATCAAATTTTCAACTTAAACATTTTTACTGTACAATAATTTCTTATATATTTCGTTGATTAACAAAAAATGTTCAAATACTCCGTTTGTAATAATAATCAAGAAAGAAATCGAGTTGATTAGTGACTAATGATTAATCCCCGATATAAATTGGAAACTTTCTCATCTTATTTGTCAAATTTTCCAAGATTTTTATTGTACTGAGAGTTACAATTATTTCTTATACATTTGATTGGATTACAAAAATACCGCTTAAAGCACGTTGATGGATAATCGATGGTGATAATAGGCCAAAATCAACTATTGGCAGTTAATTGTGGACTGTTGATTAATGTAAAAAGTTGAAAACTTATCCATTGGGCTGATTAAATCATCTTTTACAATTAGAATTGATTTTCTTTAATGTCTCATTGATCAAATACTCTTTTTGTAATAATTATCATAATCGGTGGAAACAGAAAACAAATGCAACTAAATTAATTCAATTGAAAGTAAATTTTGCACAATTAGATTCTAAAAATTTCCAATTAAATTGATGAACAATTAAAATGCTCTTTTATAATCATTATTTAAGCTCCAAGTTTACAATCAATCAATGATCAACCAATTCATTTGGGTATTTATCGGTTGATTATTTAATTGTCAGGCATAAAGAGTAATATTAATTGTTGTTAAATATTAATCAACGAAAAAAAAGCAAAAATTAGCAAAAAGTAAATTATTTAAATCTGTTAATTGTTATAAATACTTTGTTGTTAGTTAATTTATTTTGTAGAGACGAAACAATTAACAAAATTGTTGATTATACTTTATAAATACTTTGAACAACCATTTAAATTGTTGCCATAATAATGATAATCACAGGATAATTACGGCTAATATAGCTACTGAATTGAGAAGAAATCAAAAGAGAAGAAAAAAAATCATAACAATTAACTGATTAATAACAATTAGATTTGATTAGTTGGCACAGAACAAAAATAAAAGTAAAAGTTTGTTATTTTGGCGAAAGCGAAAAATATAAACTGATCAAGTTGATTGCGACAATCTAAACATTTAATTGTCGCAAATTAAACATATGAAACCTCACTTTTACCATTCTTTTGAATTAAATGATTAGTTGATTTGTTAGTTATCAAGTTGTGACGTGAAGCAATTAACTCGGTCTCTTCATTATCACCAATTTGGCAAAATATCTTTCTAAATGTTATCCGAAATTGTCTTGACATTGTACAATAAAGGATAAAATTGATGGCGCTATTAATTAGCGCAAGAATATCAAGTAATTCACCTAACGGTGAATAAACTGTTTGGAAGAAAGTTTCACCAAGGAAGACACTTAGAACGATTAAAATCCCTCCGGGCAATTCAGTTAACAAGAAAATCAAAAGGACAGCAAGTAATAAACGAGTCGTCCGATCATGAGCTTGACTTGATTCATGGTGATGATGATGGTGATTAGATTGATGTTGATTATTGTTGTCTAATTGTTGATTTTTACTTGATGGTGTTGATTGATTACCCGGACGTTTTGATAGGCACAATTCAATCCGATTTGTTGCTTCGTTAATTGTGCTTGATGGATCACAGGCTGGTGAATAACTCCAACGTCTACTATCATCAACCGAATCAGAATTATTATTATTGTTAATTGTTGTTGTCGTCGAAATTGTCACATTGGTTGTTAATAGATTAGGCTTTGAATTACTATTAATATTGTTCATCAGATTATTGTTATTACTGTTATTGGAAGATCTGAGTCGAGCCTTTCGTTTATCGGCTTCGATTAAGATTTTAATTATTGCCAAACTGAAGTAAGTTAATAAAATACAAGGCACTAATTTGGTTCCTACACTAAACACCCAAAAATTAAGATTCTTAAGAAATTTATTGTGTCGTAATGAGATTTCACTCCAATCAATCTGAAAATGGATTTAAAATAAACAGATTAGGATTAGTGGTTTTCGTTGGTAAATGAGAAAGTTATTCAGATTTGGTGATAATCTTTAATTGTTACTTTCAATTTCTCTGGTTAATTAATTTAAACATTTGGTTTACTGGTTTAGATTAAAAGAAAAAGAGGAAATAATTAGTTTACAATGTAATAAACAACGAACTGGGAGTTAATTGTTGCTTCGAGAATATAGTTTATTCTCGTTGATTATTATTACAATGATTAAAAAGTGAATAACAATCAAGTTGTTGTTACGTTTGAATAAGATGAGAAGTAAAAGTTTTCTTATATTAAGAAAGTAATAGTTGGAGGAAAAAAACTCCTCAAGGAGATGCCTTTAAAATGAGTTTTTGTTCAGATATTTTTCACTGAATTTCACCATAATCATGAGAAATTATCATGATAGGAGAGAGAGAGAGAAAGATAGAGAAAAGATGGAGAAATATTAAGAGTAAAATGTCAAGATGATGAAGATGGAAAATGGCGGAGGGAAGAAAATGTTCTTGAGGCCTTTGGATAATTTTACCTTCTTAAGAATCCATTCTTGAGATTCAAGTGAAAACCCATAAAGATCAACTAATGATGATGGAAAATCAAACATTCAATCAAAGAAAATGATCCAATCAATTAATTGTAATGAAAAGTTTTCTCTTTAAGGATAACTTACTTTTCGATAAGTTCGAGCACCAGAGAGAGAGAGAGAGAGAGAGAGAGAGAGAGAGAGAGAGATGTAAGTCTATTCTCTCTCAGAATAAACTTCAAATTCTTATTGATAGAAATTGAAAGAAGAAAAAAATAGAAGCCTTTAGATGAAATAGAATCAAATCAAATTAAAGGTAAGAGTTTGATATATGAAAATGAATAGGAATTCATTAATTACCTGAAATCCAGTTAACGATCAACAATCAGAAAGAGATGAAAAAAATTAAGAAAACTGATTAACCGAAACTTATTGTTAATCTCAAGGCTTAACTTTAAATCTTCTTGACGAATCAAATTGTTTTTTCATTTTGAATCTAATTAGATGATTTGCCATTCGCTTACATGTAATAATCTTAAATTGTCAACTGATTAACAATCAAAATTAATTACAATGGATAAGAAAAGGTAAGATAATCCAATTGATTTTCTTAAGTTTATCTATTTGATCACCTGATTCACTAATTGTTACATTGTTGATTTAAAGGTAAACAAAATCTTATTGAAACTAATTAATTGTCTCCAGACAAAGTTGATTATCGTTAATTACGTTTGATCATTGATTTAATTCCGTCTCAACGGTTGATATTCACAAGATAAATTAACTTAAATTTAACAGAAAAGGTAAGTAGCTTTTTTGGTTGTTCGTTTCACCTTGAGATCCAAGATTCTCATATTTTACTTCATAGAGATTCAACTAATTGTCTTAATTTAGTTTCTCTTCTCCCAATCAGTTACCCTTATTATCTGGATTGTTTTTTCCTCATCTAATTGTCTTTGAACAGGTAATCCTCTTTTCTTTAATCCTTGACAACACGACCAATTAAGAGTAACAATTAATTCACCTTTCCGTTTGGTGTTCAATGTAAGTCATTTGTTTTTATTTCCATTCTCAGAACTTTTTTTCATCTTTTCCTGATATTTTTCCATCTCTAGAAAATTATCATGTTGTTAACTTTATCTTCTTCTTTACATCTTACTAATAACGATAAATTCTGTTGAAAATTCATGAGGTAATCGCTTAGAATCCTGATGACGATTAAAAAATATTCCAATAAGGAAACAATTTAAGTCGAAATTGTAAAAAGAATTCGAAAATGGTAAGTGATTGTTATTCTATTTTGTTCTTCTCTTTTTCTATTCTATTCTATTCCATTCAATTTTGTTCTATTCTCTCCAATTCGAGTTATTATTTTCCTCTCAGAACTTGTTGCTATCATGATATTTACATATTTTCTTTTTCTATTCTTATCCATTTCTCTTACCTTAGAATCCACTCCCAAACCTTTGGTAATAAATTTTACCTTTTCTCTTATACATATAAAGTATATTCCAATGGAATTGATGAAACCATTTACTGTTTATTTTTCTTCGTTACTCAATCTGGTCCACCCTGTTTTCCCTCCTAGATTCTCATGTTTTTCTCTCCCCTTAAGTGTTTTTCTTTCTCAATATTCTCTCTCTCTCATACAGCTGAATAGTATTCTACACCCACCGGTGTGTTGACATTATTCCATGTGTTTCATTCATGTAAAAAAATCTCTCAAATGAATGGATTTATCTCCATGAATCTTTGTTACAATTTCACACAATCCACCAACTAAACATGTTTAATATTGAGAATCTCACCAGTGATTTATTTTCCCTTTTACTTTACTCAAATTTAGAATCAGCTGAATCTATCGATGAACTTTTCCTGAACTCTATTTATTTATAAATGATTTGGATAGAAAAGTCATTTAATCAAACAACATCAACAAGTATTGACCTCAACCTGAACTTGGTCAACATTTAATTATACAAAATGATTGATAGAAATCAATGATTTCATCTTTAAATAATATTTCCAACCTGAAATAAACCAATGAAATGATGATGGATGATCAACAAGGAAACAACTTTGACCATGTTAATATACAAGAAAATTCAGTGACCATTATCAGAAATGAATCTTGAATCAATTCATTTCTCAATTTGATATTTTCACTGATGGAAATGGATCATGAAAAGTGTTACAATTAAAGAGAATGGACATTTTTTTTTTCAACTGACCAAATGGTTACACATCAATTAACCTGATTATCACCAAGTTGACAATTATCATTTGATGGAGAGATGAAATTTTCTCTTACCCTGTAATAATAAGATTGTTCAACTTGCACCGGTGAAATGGTAAACGAAAGGTACATTGGAACACAAAATATTGGTACAATCAAATAGATCGAGATGATTGAGACAACAGCGTTTCTCATTGTGAACCAAGTTCTACTTTGGGTTGGATAACTGGACATTATCGAGTTGCCATAAAATGGATTCCCGATCACAAGGTAAGTATCCAGAATAAGAAGATAATAATAATAATAATAATCGAATATTATATTATCATGAAAATGGAAGAGAAAACAAAAAGTTACATATTAAATGGTAAATCTTTTCATCGTTTAAACCTTAAGCTTTAGAGATGGAATATTATCTCGATATTCTGGTAATTCTTTTATTGATTTTCTTTTTTCTCTCTCTCATCATATTCCATAGGAATTATTATTATTTCTATTTGTGGTCATTTATGTACATTCTCTCTCCTTTTATTCTGTTGAAATGGTTTTTGATTGTTTCCAGATTATAGATTGTTATTCATTTGAAATGGTTAAATCCATCGGATGAATAATAATATTACACCAATTCTCATATATTTATATCCAAGAATCAGTTAAACAAGTATTTATATTCCGCAATTTATTAATATTGAACGCACTTAACCTTAGCTATAATCTTAATCCTCTAAAATTGCTACGAGTTAAATAGCCAATGATGGAGTTTTTTTTTCTTCTTCTTGTATTCATTCAATAGGAAAACGATCTGATTATCAGTTATTATCATGGTTCTTTTTTTTTCATTCAATTCTATTCCATGGTTAGAATTTATATCTATTCCATTTAGCTGACTAATTAAGATGTTTTCTCATAAATCTTTTCAATTTTCATTCAATTCTCATTCCTCCTACGCTCGGGAGTGATAATATTGTCGAAAGTATTATATATAAATTATGAATTTGATGGTAATTCAAGAATGATACTAATATTTACTTAATTCACCCACACGCCAATGTAATGTAAATGTATTTACAAATGCATGATAATAACAATGATAAATAACTGAAGGAATGAAAATAATTGTCAATTTGGTGACAGTTTTTGCAAAATTTGTTAATATTAATGAGATACTTTTTTTTCCAGCTCAACTTTTATTACAATTGGTTTTCAATGTCTATTTATATCTTAGCATATTAGATGATCTCGAATTACTAATGTTTACCATTATCAAGTTTGATGGACTTTCTATTGGAAAAGGTTCATCTTAATGGATGACGATTATGTGACATCCTGGACACTTACCTTACGGATAAAAGCCTCCAAATGGCAAGAAGAATAGTTAACCATGTTGATATTGAATGAAATACAACGGAAAAATGAGCATGAAAAAGTGTAAAAACTGTCCATGGGTAGGAATACAATTCGGTGGTCGGTTGATCCCGTCGGATGTAAGTGTGAATCGAGAAGGGCATATAGTCAAGCATCACGAGCATATCGGCAACGGCCAAACCCGTTAGAATGGCATTGGTTGGGGAAACCATATTCTTCCTGAAAGGAAAAATAAACAAACAGAAAATCAATTAATCAACAATCAAATGGATACACAATGGGAAGAAACAATCAAATGGATCATTGAAAGTTTGCAAGATTAAACAACATTGAAACGAATCAAATCAGTCAACAATCAATAACAATTAATATTCAATGTTTGTCCTAAAACGTAAACATTTAATATATTGTTGTATTAAATTGATTGTTATTGTTGTTTTGGTGATTATTTTGATGATCAAATATCATCTTGCCAAGCAATTAAATCCCTCATGATTATACAAATGATGGGCATTAGTTAATCAATAACTGTACTTATTGTTATTATTATGTAATAGAAGATGAAATAATCACTAATTGACAGGGTTCTAATCATTACAATTAGATTCATTGTAACAATCAATGAGAGAAATGAAAGTTGATTGAAAGAAATTTGAACTAATTCAATTGCTAATTTGTTTATCTAATTGTTACTCGATACAATTGACGAAACAATTTACACAAAAATCACATACACAAAGTGATTAACCTTTAATTCAATCAGATACAAATAGACAAACTAAATTATCAATGGAGATTAATTTTCATCTTCAAATGTATTAATTGTCAACAATTAGGGACAACTTTCTATTGTGATGAAAATGTAACAACAATTAAGCTCTCGATCATTGAGATTAACTTAATTGCTCAATTAACTGATTTTTTTTCCTTCGTTTCGTTTCATTATTAGTTCAATATCAAACCGAATCAAATTAAACTCAATCAATTGTAATAATAATACTGATTTAAAATTTTCCACCTTAATGATTAACTTTAATCACGTTTGTAAATGTTAAATTATCTTATTGTTGTTAAATAACCTGGAGAAATGAATTTGATTGATATTTGATTATTTTGCCGGAAATTAGATTTTGTTTGACTTGATATGTTGTTGATTCGTTGGTGAATTGGATTGTAATAAATGATGATTATTGTGATGATGTTGATGATGAGGATGATTTAACATTGAAAGTTCATGATGATCTTGAATAAAACTCTGAATCCTCATGGGTGAAATTGTGATTGTCTGTTGAACATCAAACCATTGGACTGGTAACATAAATACACTTTTGATAACCTCGTTGATTACTGAGCAAAGTTACAACAATATATCACAGTTTAGAATAACAATCAATAAAAATGCGATGTTAATGTTAATTGTTGAAAGTTATTATTAGTTAACTTGAAGTTAATCAAATTTGATTGATTCCCTTTTTGATTGTAACAACAAACGCGAAAACAACAATCAGACTAATCAACCATAGGAAACGAGCGTAACCATCGTTTACCCTTAGAGCAATTGATTAACTGTAACAAATTTACCTTTAACAATCAACAATCAACAATCAACAATCAAAAATCTTTCGTATGATTAACAATTGAAAACAACTTTTCGTTCCACTGTCTTTTTCTCTGTCTACATTTCGACCATTGATTTAAGACAAACAATCGAAAAGGTAAACATTTAAATCAGTTGAAAATTCATTTTCTCCACTAAATCATGTTAATCACTTTCTCTCTTATTCTCTTCTTTAATTGTGATTACTTTTAATTGTTCCTCTTGTTAAAGTGCTTCTTATAAAGGTAAGTAAATCTTTGATTAATCTCTAATTTCTGTTAATTTAATTCGATTCATCTCATGATGTTTACATTTTATTTTCTCTTTGTTTCCATTTTATGTTTTGTTTTTCTTTCCATAGGATAACATGTGATATATTTTTCCCTTTGGAATTAATATTTTCTTTCCTATTCTAAAGGTAATTTAACCAGATTAACAAGGTGTATTCTTTGTTGTATTATTGTTAAAGAAAAGCTGAGTAATTAACGGTAACTTAATCAGGTAAGTGTATTAAAAAAGCCAAACAAAACAATTAACTGCAACATAATTTTCATCTTACATTTATGATTTGATTCATTTGCCATTTCTCAAAATTAATCTTGATGTTTGTTATCCCTTTTTATTTGTATTAATCTAATCCAGTGATTTAGTAATTATTATTACCAGCTATTAACAGACAACCTGAGTATTCCCATGTTTAACTACCAATAATCCTGACTAACCAACAATTAAGTTAACCTCAAGTGTTTCCAATTGGTGGTATTTACAATTAATCGGTGTCAAGCTCACCTGTTAACCTGCCAAAGTCATCAAGCTAATTTGCTCCTTAATCCTTTCTCTTGATTCATCTTAATCTCTTGATTTGCAATCAACATTATCATCTCTATATTTCTAAATGATTGAAGTGACCATTTCCTTTTCTAACTTGTCCATCATCTCTCAATATATTAGATCACTTTGCTGGTCATTGGTCAAAGAAAATCAAAGTGAATGTTATTATCAAACCAGAGAAACACTGAATGGATTGAGGAGAGAGAGAGAGAAGAGGAAATGGAATAAAAGAATATAACTTTTTCTCTTCTTCTAAATGACCATTGGACTAAAGTGGACACCAGGAAGATTGAGAGATGAAAAGGTGAAAGGTGGTTATTAAAAAGTGACGAAAATACTGGATCAAGGAAAAGATAATACATAATATAAGATTGGAATTGACATGTTGTTGCTTTAGTAATTCAACGAGAAGAATGGAAGAAAATTTCCTGGGACAGAATTTGATGGAAAACATGATGAAAACTCTTCTTTCCATATATTCTCGGTGTGTCTCATTCTTATCCCTCAATAACATGATCATCACCACCACCAAGAAATTCACCTTCATCACTTGAAATACTTTATCCATCTTCTTATTATTATAACAAGAAGATCATCACCAACTCATTCAATTTTTTTTCTCTCTCTCTCTCTCTTCCCAATCCCATGAAACTGTCTCTTCAAGTGTCTCTCATTTAATATCAGGTAAAGAAAAAAAAACTTCAATTTTCTCATCTTCCTCTTTGATCTTACATATTACAAGGGAAGAAGAAAAAATTGACAATAAGCTCGAAAAGATCTCAATCGATTATACAATTTTTTTTTCTATTCTCTTGCAGATCATCTGATTTTCTGAGAATCTTCAACGTCAACCTTTTGAAGTTTATGATTTGCTAACCTAACGGATGTGGAACTCAAAGGAAAAACCATTATCGAGTATATTATTACATCGAAGTGTAATATTGCCTGATATTCCTTTCAACTGTGATACATATATACAAGAAACTCCCTTTGAAGAGAGAGAGAGAGAGAGAGAGGAAGGAGAAGATGAAAAAAAGTATTATATGGATCAATGATAAACATGGTAAAAGTTGATCTGAAATTCTTGCTACATCAATCATCAAATTCCCGAAAGGTTAACCAATATAAGGCCACAGGTTAAATTTCATAAGGCACATTACGATGAGTGTGTTAACCGTTATATTTGCATATAAACGAGAAATTATATTTTTCCCTCCAACGAGTTGGATTCATCGTGGTTCTGTCAATTGATAGTTTCCATTTGAGGTGGTTACTTAAAATTCACTGAGAAAATTTTTCACTCTCTTGACAAGTGATGATTGAATATGGAATGAGTTTTTCATGATTGTTTTCTATTTCTTTTTTTGCTCTCTCTCTCTCTCTCGCTCGTTATATTTTTCTTCAGATTCATGATTATGGTTATTGGATAAAATCAAATTAAGGATTAAGATTGAATTGGACTCATTTTAAATTCAAATGGACTGAAAAATCATTGGATGAACATGATTAAACTTTACCGGTTGAGGAAAAAGTTAAATGGTTCAAGGATATGATTTCCCTTTGGTTTCAAGTTAAATATCACCACGGAGAGAGAAAAGGGAGAAAGTGATCAATTAATGAGTTTGTTGTTTTCATCATGGAAATTATTATGATGCTTGAATTACCTATTGGCTAGTTGACTGACCATGAATTAATGAATCATTCGTTTCAATTCCTTTGACAATTGCCTGATCTCTTATCCCTCTTTTCCGCTCTTATCCTTTTTAGTCAGTTCTAAATGATGAGTTTATCATGCAAACTCTTGTAATGGAAAGTGAAAAGATGATGATTATGAACATCATCATCATCATCATCAACACCTACAATATCCATAATATTGATCACCATCATCATCACTACCTTCAATTAGTTAACTTTAATTTCATCATCAAACAAACTCTTTGCATGGCGGATATACAAGTTCAAGAATTGACAGTTAATTTAGTATTCTATTAATCGTAATGGACAAAATGTCGCAGACTACGGATATTTATTGATTGGTTAAATTACTTTACAACGACAAGAACTATTTTGTTTTTGATCCTCGAAAGGAAGGAAAATGTCCAAGTAACAAAAAAAAATTTCTATTCTTTTTTTTGTTGTAATGATGTTTTCGAAATATACCTTTTGAAGATACACAAAGAATGATAGAGATAAAAACATCATGTCATAATCATGATGATGATGAGAATATCATGATGACAATGATTGTATTGTTTTTCTCTGCAGTTTTCCTTTAATGACCAAGAGTAAAGCGTAAATTCAAGTATTGGGGAAAAGTGATGAGGATAAACAAGACACCAAAGATACCAAAGGAAAAATTATTTGAAACTTCACTCAGGGTGAAGAGGAAGATGATGAAAGAAGGATGAAAACAAGATGACAAATGAAATCCAGCAACTTGGATGCCTTGTTGATTTTTTTTGTTGATTCATTGGATCCATCGACCGATCAAGTGGAAAATTAATCCATTCTACCTGGCTTGGTTTCTTTCAATCAGTCTTCACAAACACACACACACACTCACACATTCACACAACACTTACAGTAAACAAAAATGTGACGAAATTTATTTACATTTGATCATTGATCCAAAGATGATGAGGATGGAGATAGAAAGATGAAACAAGCGGATGGATCAAGAGAGAGAGAGCGAGAAAAGAAACAAGATGAAACATTGAAGAGAAGATGAAAGTACAAGTGTATCCAATGAAAGAAAAGAAAGAGAAACTAAATGTTCACCATGGTGATGATGATGATGATAATTATGTGAAGACAATAGTATATCAAAGTTTGGAATTACTCGAAAAAAAACTGGACAAAGAACGAGAAAAGTTTCATCGACCAAAATGGAAACAGCTTATGGAAACATAGAATAATGAATTTCGAGAAAGATTCTGAACCATTTTCGGTGTAACAATTTACTTTTTTCTCGTTTCTTCCTAAAAGATTCACCTTCATGATGATCAGTGATGTTTACTCAGTATTCGGGATGAAGATGATACCACAAGAGTGAGAGAGAGAGAGAGAGAGAGAGAGAGAGAGAGAGAGAGAGAGAGAGATGGAAACAATAACAATATTTTAATGGATGATAATCAGTTGAATTTCATCAACATTTAACATTATCATGGTGCTGATGATTAAAGTGTATTATTTAATAATAATTGGGAATCTATTTCCATGCAATTATTATTATTGTCTCGAAAGGTGAATGTATGTTTTTCCCAGAGATTAATCTTGAAATCGCCATTGATTGTGTTTCTGTCAATATTTACAGTTATATTCCCACTCCCACCTTACCTTCACCTCCCACCCATTCCATCAATGGTATTAATTTAATCTATTGTTGTCTCGTTGATTGTTTTCCTCATCATCTTTAACACATCATCTCAACACCAATGAGACCAATCATTCCAACTGATTGTAGATTAGTTAATTGGTGATTATCGTGATTGTTTTGACAATTAATTCTTGTATGATAACATTTAATTTGCTACTCTCATTTACCTGAGACCATCTTATGAATCTAAATTAACTTGATTACACATTCAGACTGAGATTATTTAGATTGTCATGAGATTTTGTTTTCCATTATCATCATGTTGATCTGTAATTATCGTTTTCTCCCAATCAACATGATCACCATTCTGTATATACTGTTTAATGGTCAATCTTTGGATTAGTTTGCTGATTATACTCTTGATTATGTTTACTCTTAGTACATGGACTATTATCGTTAACAATTTATTAACTATCCTTTTGTGACAATTAAACTTATTGGCTTAATTTTTGTTCCAAGTAGTTAGTATTTCCAGCGGGAATATTAAACTTTATTCTGATTCAGTTGTCGACTGATAATGAAATATACTCCCTTCAGTTAACTTGATTTGTTAATGAGACAAGAGGAAGACATGAAGAGGAGTGGAAATAGATGAAGAAGTGGGAAGGATGGAGGTGGAAACTGAGCCGAAGGAGGTAAAACAATCAAGAGAGAGAGAGAGAGAGAGACAAGAGTCCTTAATAAATTAATTTTTTTTCTTCTCCATCAATTGAAGATTCAGAAAATCAAACAATGGATAAGAGATAATTGGAGATCTCTTGAAATTATCTAAAAATATATTCATGAACAAGGAAAAACACAAAGTTCAATATGGAAAAAGGTACAAAAAAAGTTCAATTCAACGAATCAAATTAATTTTAATTGTTTAGAGAATAGAAAAAAAAACTTCCACCGTTACAATAGCACGAAGATCAGGGTAATCGTTATACAGGGAGACCATGGATTCTGATGAAAGGCATCAAATACACAATATATAGTGTGTGGAATGAGTTAAACAAAGAGAGATGAAGATCTGAACTGAGTTCAGGGTGAAATTTTTCATGAAAAAAATGTAAACAATGAATCAAATATCAATAAATTGGAGGCTGTCAAATTAAACAACTTCATCAATCAACAATCATTTTGATGATTAAAAAAAGTATCACCATCTTCAAGAAAACAGCAACAATCAATTTGTTACATTGACTACATGGGGAAGTTATGAAAAACTAATCCCAACAATCATCATGAAATCATAATATTTATTAACGATCAATGTACAGAGTGGATTGTAAATGAATCATTTTCAGTCCACTCTGTATTCTGATGAGAGTTTAAATTTATATTTATAAGATAGAAAATGTCATCAAATCAAATCAAATCAAATCAAATTGGTTATAACTATCACTTTGATCAATTAATTGATTTACCATCAAATTGATAAGGTAACATACTGTCCAGAATAATAATTTAATAGTAAATTGTTAAAGAGGAACAGGAATCAAATTTGATTGTAACATCAACGATTATCAATATTAACCAGTGAAATATAATCAACATCATCTTAAACGTTAATTTAATTATATCATCAACTTTGAATAGTTGAAATCGCCAAGTCCAATGATATAATAAATCATTGATAAATCAATAATCAATAATCAATAAATGATTGTCCATTTGTGTAAAATTGATTGTTAAATCAATCAAATATTTGTTGGTTGTTTCAACAATTAGCTTAATTGTTTGTTATCCATTAACATTTAAATCTGATTTGAATTGTAATAGTTTGGTAAATTATCGGAAAGTAATTTGATCCTAACAATTTGATTATTTGATTTGAAATGAACTTTAATTTGTTTAAATGATAATTGTGATTAACATGAAAAGGAAACAAATTATTTAAATCAAATTAGATGTTAATTGATCAAAGAAAATCAATTTATTATCATGATAATAACTCAATCAAAAAGTTTTATCAACAATTTAAATTGTTAATTTTTTTTCCATCTATTATTGTGTATAAATCAATTTGATTACGAGATTTAATCAGGTAACAATTAATTGCTTTACATAAATCATCAAGTATATTGATTTAATTAGCAATTAATTTTCTGTCCGGTTCTAATTAATTTGTTTACGGTTAACAATTAACTTGAAATGAAGTTCATTGATCTTCAATAAAAAACATAGTTAATTGTTTATTGTTGATCGTTAATTAAATCAACTGTAACTGGATATCTTGAATATTTAACTAGTTAATTACCTGTGATTTAAGCTGAAAACAATTAAACCAGCATTAAAACAAGTAACTCATTTAAATTGTAAGAAGCAAATTAAATGGTAATTATAAAAATCTAATCAATACTTGAACTTGAATTGTTTTCATGATAATTATGGTGATTAACATTCAAATTGAATCAATCTAATTATATGAGGGTTTATTGATTGGTTAATCAACGTAATTAATATTAAGCCCAAAGGGATAATTGGATTCTTGTTTCAACAATCAAATCAAAGGTTAATCTGAAAGGTGAACAAAAAAGTTCTGATTGTAAGAATTTTGATTTGAAAAGAAAACTTTTGTTATCAACTCGCCTCGAAATTGTATTGATTTAGAACTTTTCGAATTCAGATCATGATCTCGAATTGAACGATTTCACCTTATCTTTTATTCTCAGGGAATGATAAAGTAACAGTTCCAATAGAGTTGGAAACAAGAAAGAAAGCAAGAGTGAGAGAGAGAGAGAGAGAGATGGGGGTAGAGATTGATGAAAATTTCGAAACTCACAATTCGTTGATTGTTAACATTAAAACGATATGAAAGATGAAGATAAGGATGATAATGGTGATAAATATAAAGAGTAAACTTATCGCTTCAAGGCTTTGTAATGGAAGGAAAAAATGTCTCCAATAATATTACATAAATATGAAGATAATGTGATAACTTGGGGAGCCAAATAAAAAGTTCTGAAAATCTTGAAATCGAATCGCATCCAGAGGTGTGAATGATGAATCTATGAGTGTATTTGAATTCTATTATTTATAGAAGAAGAAGATGATGATTATGACGATGGTTTGTCTTCATTTGTATTGGATTAAGACAACGAGAGTTTATTTGAGAAGATGATTAAATTCTGATGATAAAACAACCAAATAAATTGAATTGAAAACGATGACGAGAATGAATTAAGATAAACAATTGAAACATCAACTCGATGGTGAAAATTGTTACTTGAAATATTCAGTAACTGATAAAATAATAAGAGTGTGAAAAATAAATCTAATTCTGAGAGTTGTTTCCATGTATATGTTGTTTATCAGCTCTTTTCTCACTAAATGAATTCTAATATCATGAAGTTTAAGGTAACCTAAATAATAATAGTGTCTCTTTTGTTACTCTAACTCATACTCAGGGTGTTTAATGATGTATGAACATCATGCTACATGTATTCTCCATGATGAGGGTATTCAGATGAGATGATCTTTTTACATCTACACTAACTGACACCAGGATGATGATGATAATCAGTGAGATGTCAACGATAATCAGTTAATTGGAATACCAAACATTTGCAATCTGGAATAATTTTTTTACACATATTTTGAAATATTCTCAATTTACAGAACCTGAAATAATTCCTGTGAATTCAGGATAATATTGAAACGAGGAAAAGTTCATGATGAGAGAGAAAAAGTTCTGAATAGCCAGTAACCAAACGAATATAAAAAGATAACTATTTATTCATCTTAGGATGATGATCAATCAAAACTTTGACAGATTAATTTCTCATCCACCTTTTAACCAAAATCCGTCAGAATTCATGGAAATGTTGATTCAGAATCTAATTCGTAGGAATGAATAGAGAAAAATTCTTCTTTCATCGATTTCTCTCTCTTTCTTTCTTTTTCTTCCAGAATTCAGATTAACAGGGGGATAAGTAGGCGGTTGATGAAACATAACCTAGTTTATTGAAAACTTCTGACCAAGAATTGAGATTCTGAAAAGTAATGAACTTAAGGGCCTATTGTTTTCACAAAGGTGTGTTTTCAGTGGGTGGGGAAGAGGTTCAGTTCCTCCCTGTTCAGGAAGCTGGATGAAAACCAGAATTTTGTTATCAAAAGAAAAACTCAAAGCTCTGATTCCATCAATCAAATTAACGTTTGTTAGACTATTATATTTTTTTTCATTGCTTCTTGTTCATGGTAACATATTAATAATATTGTGAACCTGGAAATGAATATATAATCAAATCTTGTTATTGTTTTCAGAGTTACTATTAATATCTTGGAATTTATTTACTTCCATCCCCTGAATATCATCACCAGTATCACAAATTTCAACAGATTAATAAAGATTCTGGTGAGTGATAATTTCATTATAATCTAGAACTTTCTCTCTCTCTCTCTCTCTCTCTTCACCTCCACAGGTAAAAATTCATGATTAAAGATCATCATATGTTCAAGGTTACAGAACCTCTGAATCCTCATGAACTTGTGATTACATTATTATAGATTAATAAATTATCATTTATTATTATTTATGATAATTTAAGTTGATTGTTGAAAATAATATTATTCATGATTTAGCCTGATTGTTATGGTTTGGTAAACAATCATTTGATTCAACCTCTTGCAATGATTGTTTTTATTTTTCTGTGACAAATTGCTGATCATTAACAATGAAACAATCAACAAATATAATGATTACTATGATATTAACAGTTATTATATTAAAGATAATTATTTATTAATCGTTTGATTGTAACAATTAAATTAAAGGTTTAGCAGTTTTCATGTTTCAACATTACAGTCCAATAAAT